AGATCAACGAGCGGAACCGCATGATCCAGAGGCTGACGGCCGAGGTGGAGAACGCCAAGTGCCAGGTACGGGTCATCTGTGCTCGAGACCAGAGCCTAGCATCCCACCCCTGTCACACAGCCGTGGAGGGGCCCGCATGGACCTCAGCATTCACTCTTCAGCATAGTTGTATATATGGAGTTCTGGTAGTGGTCTCTAAGGGAGATCCAGGTGACCATGGTGAAAATGTTTGCTTCTGGTATCTGCTAAGCTGAGTGGGCGAGGCTGGACACACCCTTCTAATGGACAGAGTAGCCCAGGAACACTAACCCTTGCTCTCTTCTGGGTTCCCAGAACTCCAAGCTGGAGGCCGCGGTGACCCAGTCTGAGCAGCAGGGCGAGGCGGCCCTTGCTGACGCCCGCTGCAAGCTGGCTAGTCTGGAGGAGGGCCTGCAGAAGGCCAAGCAGGACATGGCCTGCCTGCTCAAGGAGTACCAGGAGGTGATGAACTCCAAGCTGGGCCTGGACATCGAGATCGCCACCTACAGGCGCCTGCTAGAGGGCGAGGAGCAGAGGTGGGTCCCTTAGCCCTTTAATTTCCCAGCCTTCCTGGGTTCTCAGCGTAGTCTGTCTCTCACACTCCCGGCTCCACTCAAGTTCCGTTTCCAACCCTCTCCATCCTGCAGCTTCAGGTAATTTGTGTAAATCCTTTGAGTATGATGTAGTTTTAGCTGTATCTCTGATCCCCACCTGGGCACTGATCTGGGATTGGAGCCTTCTATAAACCTGTTAGAGCCATCAGACTAATAGCAGTCATCCCTGTTCTTGAAAGAGCAAGCTCAGCCTTGGGGCCTCTTCCCTGGTGCTTCCTCCCTCCCAGTTTTTGTTGCATGTTCCCCTCAGCATCCAACCCTTTTCCCTAGCCTGGTTCTTGTTCTGGCTCTAACCCCATTCCTGGGAGTTTAGCTTTCTCTCATAAGGACTGTATCAGGGAGAGCATTCCATCGAGTCACATTTACAGTTAAAACGATTACCCCAAGTGGTCTTCCATTTCAGTTAGACACAGGACAGCGACTGTCCCTTTAGGTCGGAATGCCTTGCTTGCTTGCTTTGGAGGTGTGGGGGGAGAAGACCCATTGGTCATTCCCCTTCCTGTGGCTGGAGGACAGTCACACAGCTCCTGCTCCTAGAAGGCTAACACTCCCAGGACTCGAATGTGTTCTTTGCTTCCTTTGTGGGTCAGCTGACCACCTGGAGCTTGTCCTCTTCTTGCATAGAGCTGGGCCCCAGGTCCTGGGGGGAGAGGAGTGTGCAGGGTGAAGATGCAGAGGGAGGACCTCTCTACTAGGGAGATAGGGACTCCAGGTTCGGTACCAGGAAGTCCAAGTGATCACATGGTGAGACTCACAACAATTCTATGAGTTGCACTGGAAAGCGCAGGAGGCACAGGGTCTGATGGGGCCTGGGGAGCGTCCTTAGGGAAGAATTCTGGGAAGAGGAGTTTTTCGAGTCTGAATTTGGAAGTTGGAGCTAGACCTGGAAGCTGAGTGGCCCACCCTCCACAATTCTTGGCATATCTCAGAAACTTTGTTATGGGTTACCTGGGAAACCTGGGCATGCGATAATCTGAGGAGGGCTGAGGGTTCTTCTCTTATTTGAAGCTGATTCCACCAACCCTTAGCCACTGTGCTTTCAGGGAAACTCCATTTGCTTCTCCTAGAGAGACAATGTTGTGCGGGGAGGAAATATGGGCCAGGTAGAATTAGGTGGCCCAAGTTAGAATGTGCCTCTGTCATTGGTCATTTCTCTCTGGGACTCAAGTTTGTTCATCCGTCAAATGAGAGCACTGGGATGGATGGTCTCTAAGCCTGTTCTAAATGGGTTCTAAAATTTCATGCGTTCATCCAACAATTACTTATTGAGTCAGACATTGCTTTCAGGCAACATTTATTCTATAGTGGGGAAGAGCATGAAAAACAAAAACAAACTCAAAACCAAAAAACTTCTACCCTCCTGAGGCTGAGGTTCTAATGACACCAGTCAGATCAGATTGCTCTCAGAGGCATTTACAACTTAATCAGGAATGGTAGCAGCTAATATTTCTCAAGCGCTCACTAGGTGCTAGGCACTATGCACTTTACAGGTATAATTCGATTAATCCTCACTGACAAGTAGTTTTTCCTGATGAGGAAATCCAGGCTGAGGGAGGTTAAACCTGAGGGTGCATGGTGAATAAGCCCAAGACGAGCTGCTGGGAGCCATTCCACTCTCAGAACACATACTGTGACCAGGCTAACCTGGCTCCTGGCTTAGCTGGTTTCTGGCCCCTTCCCCTTGGCAAGGGCCCAGCAGGAGGGTCATGGACCGCACCTTCCACCTTGGCCGCGGGGTTCTGCGACTTGGCAGCGGCATTGACCTCTCCCTTTCTTCTCCCAACAGGCTGTGTGAGGGTGTCGGCTCCGTCAATGTCTGTAAGTAGTCCCAGCCCTCCCTTTCTCCCGCTGGGGTGGCCCTAGTGCCTTTAGGGAAGGGGCCTTTGCACTTGTTGCAAAGCCACCTGGCTGTGGCTGAGCGTCATGCTCTCTGCCTGTCTCTTCCCCATTCAGGCGTCAGCAGCTCCCGCGGTGGCGTCGTCTGTGGCGATCTCTGCGCCTCAGGTGCTGCCCCTGCTGTCACAGCCAACGTCTGCAGCGCCCCCTGCAGCGGCAACGTGGTGGCGAGCACTGCCTGCGGCCCCTGCGCCGGGACCGGCGGCTGCGGCGGTTGTAGGAAGTGCTAGGAGGTTGCAGCCTCTGCCAGCGACCTTCGCCCTCGCCACAGCCAGGACCTAGCGCAACCGGAATACACCCCGCTGCCGGCCTCCCAAGAGCCGGTGGCCAGACGTGTCTGCCCTGCACGCCTTGCCTTCCCTCTCTGCTCCCCTCCGATCGCTGAGCTCCGGGAAGCTGGGCGGTGCATGGTCTCTTTCCGTAGCCTTTCCTAGTAGTCATTTATTGTCTGGAGGACTCCTCCTTTCTTTCTGTCTTCTGTGTTTTGCTGGATTCATTGGATCTGCCTGATCCCTGTCCCTGAGTTTGGAGGAACAGGACAGGCCCTAGAACCACCCTGTCTGCACTTCCTGGAAATCTGCCTACCTGCTTCTGCCTGTGGCATGGAGATGGGGATCACTGCTGCTGGTCTTCCCGTGACTGTGAGGGACATGACCTGTGGGAGGGGAGAGCCCCTCTCTTCCATGGCTGCCGCCTGCAGAACCTTCTGAAAAACCAATGGTTCACTGTCTTTGTTTCACTCTGTGTTTCCAATAAACTAATTGTAGCGAATCAAACCTGGTGTCCCAGAGCCTTGAAAATGCCAGGGCCCTCCACCAGTGGGTGCTCCTTGCCAGAGATTTCTTTAGGACCTCTCCAGCCACCATTTCTCCACAGGTGAAAGTGACCGTGGTGGTGCTGCCCACCTGGCCTTGAGCCAAGCCTTAGGGAAATGGAAGGAAGACTTATGGAGGAAGGGAATCTTGCAGGGTGTCTCTAGACCACGCTTTCTCCACTTCAGCACTGTGGACACCGGGGACGGATCATTTTGTGTATTGTGTATCACAAATTGTATATCATTTTGTACCATCCCTGGCTTCTGTCCACTAGGGGTCAGTAGTATTCACTTCAACTGTGACAAGGGAAGATGTATCTCAGTATGGCCAAATGCCCCAAGGGATTCTCAACCAGGGTGATTTTGCCCCCACCCCAAGGTCATTCCTGAAGAGGGAAAGTACCTAAGGAAAGGAATAGGGATGAGACTTGGAGAAAAGGTATTCAAGAGCAGCAGAGTGGGGGGGGGAGGAAGAACACCGTGTCGAGCATCAGGAGAACAGGTTCCAAGTCAGGGTGCCGGCTGCCATCTACATGTGTGACTTTGGGCACGTTGCTGCGAGCCTCTGCACTGCCATTTTCTTGGCTGTTGCTTTGGTCTGTTCTCTGTTGCTTAATAACTGAATACTGCAGACTGGGTAATTTACAAAGAATAAAGATTGACTCAACTCATGGTTCTGGAGGTCTGAGGTCAAGGGACCACATCTGGTAAGGATCTTGGTGGTAGAGAAGACTCACTGCAGAGTCCTGAGGTGGCACAGGGAGTCCCATGGTGAGAGAGCAGGGGTCGTGTCTGTTGGTGATTCTGCTCTGGTTCACCCCCTCTCCCCGTAAACCCATTAGGGTTCAGTCATGAGGCCCCACCTGCTGATTTTATCTGATCCCCATGTCCTCCCAAAGCTTATTAATCCCATAGTCGATCACGTTTCCATCTGCTTAATACCATCACAACCAAATTAATTTTGGAGGAACACATTCAAATCATTGTATCTGTTGAACGAGGAAGGTTGGACAGTATTTCTAAGATCTTTCTAGCTCCCTAGTGAGGTCTGGTATTCGTTAATACTGACTTATGTTTGCATGCTGGCTCAGGCATTTCCTAGTTCTGTGACTGTGGGCAAATCACTAATCCTTGCTGAGCTTTAGCTTCTTCATATGTAAAATGGGATAATGATACTTACTACTTTGCGTATTAAGGAGACAGAACCAATAGATTTGTATAGACATAGAAGAGGGGACTTATTTGGGGATTCAGCTCATATGATTATGGCAGCTGCGAAGTCCCACAACAGGCCGTCTGTAAGCTGGAGACCCTGCAATTCTGGTAGCATGGATCAGTGCAAGTCCTAAGGCTTCAGAGACAGGGGAGTCAATGATGTAACACACAGTCTGAGGTGAAAGCCCGAGAACCCTGGGGGCTGCTGGCATGAATCCTGAGGTTGGAAGGCAGATAGACACACTCACAGTAATACTTGATTAGAATCCTAGGTATTCCTTAGTCTGGTCAAGTTAACAACCAAGACTAACCATCACAAGAGGTGTTTTGAGTATCTATGGTACATAACAAACCGCTCCAAAGGTAGAGGCTTAAAGTAATACTTGATCATTCTCATGATAAACTCTGTTGGATTATGAGCAGTGTTTGTACTTTGTGTGATGTTGTTTGGGGTGCTAGAAAGTCTGGAAGGTCCCACAGGGCCTCACTAATGTGGCTAGATTTGGTGCCAGTCACCAGCTAGGAGCTCAGCTGCAACTGCTGGCAGGGTGTATCAGTCAAGGTCCAACCAGGGTATTTTGAACAGAGAAAGTTTAATGTAAACAATTGTTAGCTATAACGGAGGACCAGAGAAATGGGAAAGATTGGCTACTCAAATGTAATAACTCCAAAGAGCATAGGAACTACAGATATGAGGGGTAGCCCCCACCCCTAGGCCTTTTCTCCAGTGTCTAACGATAATTTCCTCATTGTCCATCGGCCTTCACTGTCTCCTTGAGGACATTTAGACTCATGCCTGGTCCCAGTTAGGTGTTGTTGCAGCAGCCCCCTCTACCAGGTACCTACTTCTCATTCACTTATCTATTTGCTACATAACAAGTATCCACAAACTCAGAGGCTTAACATAATACTATATTTCATAATCACGTGGATTGACTGGATGACTTTTCTTCTTCATATTATTGGCTGGGGCTCTGGGATGACTAGAAGGTCCCAAAGGACTTCATTCAAATGGTTGGCATTTGGTTCTGGTCACTGCTTGACTGTTTAGCTGGGATTGATGGCCAGGGGGCCTCTGTTCTCCTCCAGGTGCTGCCAATTCTTTTAAGGACTAAGTGCAGAAGCCCCAGAATATCCCTCCTCACCACTTTCAAAGCAGTCACGGGGCCCATCCAGGTTCAAGGGGAGGAGAAATATGCTCCATCTGTAATATGAGGTGTGGTATGTACAGAGAAGGGAGGGATCACTGGGGCAGTTTTCCTAAAGATAACTGTCACAGGAGGATTAAATGAGACAATACAAATACAAATTTGGAATATGGTGCTGCATATGATAGATACTCAAAACTTGGTATTTGTTATTGTTGCTGTTCTTACTAGCACCACAGTGGCATAGCAGTACAGCATTCCTAGTCTCTAAACAGCAGGAGGCAGAATGGGGTGCTGGGGAAAGACTAGGGTCTGGACATCTGGAAATTTAGGTTCTTGTCCTGGCATTGTCATCAAAGGTATGTGGTCAAACCCTGCTATAGCTTCAATAGTTCCCTCCAAATTCATGTGTTGAAATTTGGTTATAATGGTATTAAGAGGAAGAAGACTTAATATGACAATGGGATTAAAATATGGTCATGCTCTAATCCCTTTTCCTCCATTCTCCTCCCAGGATCTTGGGCATGCATGCACATGTGCCCAACATGATTTTCAAGCCACCAAGTCGGGGATTCGAACCACGGTAGGCCATGTGGGAGTCCAGCAATATAACTATCTTCTGTTGGATCCCAAACTTCTATTCATTATAACTCACCCAGACTCAGGTATTTCTGTCATTAGCAAGAGAGAACAGACTAGAACAAGCCCCTCCACCTTTTAGAACCTCTGTTGATTTACCCCAAGATGAATGAGGGAGAGCTATGGTTGGTACGCAGAGCAGGGTGGGTGCTGAGGGCTGCTACCCTGGATATTGTCACTACCATGGCCTGTCTTATCTCAGGCTTGTCAGTGCAGAGAAATCCGATGTCCAGATAGCATACATTGCTCAGCAGCCCTCAGGAAGCTCCAGACAGACAGCTGGCTTTCCATGAAGCATGGAAGGCCTTGTTAATTGGCCCGTGCCAACTACCTCTTCAAGATGGCAAGGAAAATGCCTGGATGGGAGTGGGAAGGAGAAATAGAGAAAGGTTTTGAGGGATAGAAGAGTTAGGGTAGAGGGGGCTATGGGAAAGAAGTGTTTGCTATAGGGCACGTGCGCTCGTCAGAAAGACAGAGAGAGACAGAGAAACAGAAAGCGAGAAATCACCCCACCAGGGGGGATGGCCATGCTGCAATCCCTTCTCCTCTATTCTCCTCTCGGGATCTTGGGCACGCACACACACGTGCCTGGTGTGAGTTTAAGCCACCGGGTCCGGGACATGAACCGTGGTCGACTACATGGGCGTCCAGCGACATAGCCATTACGCTAACTGCTGGTCCCTCATTTTAAGCTTTTGAAGGGCCCTGGAGAGCAGTACCGCAATTGTCCACCACCAGTCTTACTGAACCCATTAGAGCTCCAGGATGTTCCCTGCTGTTTCTCCAAGTCCACCTCTTCATATGCTCTTCCCCATGTCTGAACACATCTTTCCCTTCTGTTAACACCTTACTTATGTTAACACTTTCTGTAACACGGAAACTTCACAAGGACAAGCATCTTTGACGGTTCTCTTCACTTACCTGAACCCAGTTCTGTATAACAGTACCTGATACATAGCAGGTGCTCAGTAACTATCATTTACTGAATACATATGCTCCTGGTCTTCCTTTAGGTCTCAGCTTCAATCCTACTTCCTTCAGGGAATATTAACCACCTTCGCCTGCTTGGTAATCCTCCAACCGTGCTTCTCTCTTACTCTCAGAACTAAGGCCTGCGGCTCTTTGAGGTCAAAGTGGCCGTGCTGGCAGAGGTGTGGCTCGGGACTCTGGACTGGACGCTCTAACAATGGCTAGTTTGCAATGCTCTGTTCTGCCTGGTCCCTTGAACTGGTGGGATGGAAGGAAGGTGGGCCATCTTTAGGGACATGGAGCTTCCCTGGGCTCCTCTAAGTGCATTGTTGACCTCCCAAGGCTGGCATCCCTATGAAAGTCTCCTTAGTCCCCTGGGAAGAGAGTGGTAAAATCCCAGAGCAGTGTTCAGGGTCACTTCTCAAGGTCAGAACAGAGAAGGCCC